ACACACAGATACAAATCAGCTCAGTGTAGCCTTCCCTCCTAAATCTGTTATTCTACTTGCCACTAAAGAAATATTGAGTTTTGATAATTTAATTTTTATTAGAAAGAAATCTGATTCTCAGTTTATCAAGTTACTATAATCATATGAATTCATCATTTAGTTGCTTATTGTCATAGATGTCAACTTAGTGGAGCAACAATTCAAAAGAGTGAATTATACAACACTATGTTAGATCGTGCAGAGCATACAAAGATGAGGAAGACAGTTCTTACTCCCAATTTTTAGAATTTACAAAAGGGAGGAACACAAACATACAAATTAAAATGTAATCAAATGTCCCTTTCTCTGGGAAGCCATTTTTTCACCACCCCCATCTATTAGCAAAATTGGTTTCTCTCTCTCTTCTATGACTCCATCGCATTTACATAAACTTCAATTGTCATTGTTGACATATCTGTCTCACACTATACTTTGCAATGTCCGAGGAACAGGACCTTATGCTTGCAACTTTAAGGGCCAGCACAGTTACTGGCCTATAGGTGTTGTTTCACAAATGTCAAGTGAATGAATGATAGATGGATGAAAAAACAGTATTAGCCAAAGGTAAACCATATGTTAGACATTATCTAGTACTATGACTACTTCAATCTTCGAAATAAACTTTGGAGTAACTATTTTTGTAACTACTGACTCTTTTAGTCTTCACAACAACTCTAGGAGTAATTATCCATGTTCTACAGTTATAGAGAAGAAGACCCAGAGAGGTTAAGTTGTTTGTGGTTACTCATATAGTAAGCGATAGAGCCACGTGGGAAGAATGAAGGAAGGAAAGAACAAAATAAGGAAAAATGAAAGTAATTTAAACAGAAGAATAGAAATATAAACTAATTTCTATGAGGGTTGGAGAAGGAAGCATAGGAAGAGGGATATAGGCAAAGTTTTCTAAAGAAAGGTCTTGAAGGAAGGTGATAATTCTTGTAGGTATTCTAGGTGGAAGGAATAGCATGATTAAATGACACAGAGTGGGAGAGAGCACCAAGTATATTTGAGGAACAGCAAAATGAGAATTTAGTTAAAGCTGAGGTATATATGGTATCAAATTCAATTCACGAAATATTTATTGAGCATTTACTCTGGCCCTGTATGGGAAAATAAACTTGGAAGGGAAGATTCAGATACAGAATGAAGGGTTTTGAATGCCAGCATAAAAATCTGTACATAAATCAGCAAGTATTGGATTGCCATTGAAGATAAGTAAATAAGGCTGAACGTGATTCATTCTGCACTTTAGAAATATTAACCTTGCAGCAATGGATGGAATGACTATAGTGGAGGCTTCTGAGTTTACTTAGTAGGTAACTACCATGTGGTAAGTAGGTGGTAATTGTGAGAGTTTGTATTTCGACAGCAGCTCCTATAAAGTGAAGGGTAGGGATCCAGTGTCAGGGGAATGTCTATAATTTGACACCTGCCAAACACAATGCATCAAGGGAGAAGTTACAGAAGAAATGGTGTCCATCAGAAAGATCAAAATAGATGACCTACCCTCAATCAGAAATTCTTTTTTATTAAAAAAAAAGGAAAGAGGAGTATGTGTGGTTTTGTTTTCATTTTTCTATAAAGCCATTGTGTAATGGTTCTGCTTATAAATGATCTCATTTTCAAAGTGAAAATATTTAATAAGTACCTTTCTGATTCCTAACACATGTCAAAAGACCTCTGATGCTAAAATTCCTAATTTCTCAAGTTCTGAGTTAACATTCTTTAGCCAATGATGGAACCACAGCAGACCACTAGTAATCTCAAAAGAAAAGAAAGGCACACAACAAAGAAGTATGAAAACCTGAAGGATTTTTCCTCCTTTGTATAAGCACTATTAAAACCGTGAATTTTTACAACTACATATATTCAAATTGTCAGCATTATAATAAGGTGTCTAGACATAATTCACAGTGTCAAAATTACTTCTACTCTTGGAAACCAAGAGTATCCTTGTTAAAGTGTAAAATGAGATTTTGCCTACTTGCAACTCCTTGTTCTCACAGCTGAACTGTCACAGCATGAAAACATTCCCCTACTGGTGAAGCTTTAGATACCAATTTCCCTGGTGAAGGAGCGCAAAAGAACTGAGTTACTGACAATTCATACAGTATCCCATAGCCCACTAGAGTACAACTACAAGCTAAGAAAATATTTTAACTCTGAAGGGAGATGGGGCAACAATGTTTTAAACGATTGTTGACTTCACTGAGTAGTGTGGAAAATGTCAAAAGACTGTAGTCTATCAGGTTTGTAAGAAACTCAAGATTATACAAGAATCTAAAGTCTATTTCTTTGTTCCGTTTGCTAAGTCAAATGTTAATGAGAAGTACACTGAAGAGAACATCTTCTGTGTTATTGCAAAGTATTTCTCACGCAACATAAAAACGTAAATGAAAAAGTATTTTAATCTAGTTCATTAACTTCTTTTATTAAAAAAATAGCTTTACTGAGGTATAATTTATATGCCATAAAACTTACTCATTTTTTAAGCGTCCAATTCAACGACTTTTAGTAAATTTACAGAGTTGTGCAACCATCGCAACAATCTAATTTTAGAACATTCCCATTATCCCAAATCCATTAACTTCTTAATCTAAGATATTTCGATAAATCATGGAAGCCACGGGTATGTAAAGCTACTGTATATTCAAAGCCAAACAAATTTCTGCAACTGAGCAGGAAAAGTGCAAACTACCCTCACTTTTAATGACCTTTATAACCAATCCTCTACTCTGGCACTGGGAAGAACATGTTCAGGTGCTTTCTCTGAAAGTTAAACCATTCTAAGTATTAAGTTATGGCACACTGTCTTGGAAAGAAATTAATTATATTTTTGTTGGTAACACATTTCAGGCTGTTTACACAGCTGACATTTCTCAGCTGTACCCAATTCATGCCCTAAGCTGTGAGGACAATCTTGTTTTGTAGCCAGATGCCTCCACTTGAGTGATTTAAATAAGTATAAAAACACCATCGTCTGCAACAATATAGATTACAAGCACAGCGTTAGGAGTTTTTATAGTCCTAATGAAAGGAAGGGTTCATGACATTTCTTTGGCTAGGATCTCCTTAGAAAGCTACAGTTATAAGCTATTTTTGCCAAAACTCAAGCACTGGAGCAAGCGGATGTGTTACGGCGCCAGTTAAAAGCAGCCTGGCCCCAAACATCTTTGTTGTATCAAATCACGCAGCTCAAGGCAACATCCTGCCAACGTGGCAGCATTTGCTCTGGGGAGGTGTGGGCAAGCATCACATCACAGGGTCTGGGACAAGGTGCAAATATGAATAATGAGGCAAAAAGAAGCAAGCCTCTTAACTGAGATTCCCTCTTGTGTTTGCTGTGACTTAGATATAGCACCAGGTAGCAGTACAGTCTTGGATATGGTAAATTTTAGCTGCTTTCAATATTTTCCTATAGTAATGAAACTGCATTAGAACTATTTGGTAAAAAATTAAATGTTATAACAATCATTAAAACATGGCCCTCATTAAAGACTGTGTCAACTCAATTCAATGATTTAACACCTAAAATGTACAGAGCATTACGCTACAGGCGAATTCATCTTATTTCAATGAGTTTGCCTATCACTCTTGGAACTGCATTTGATAAGCCTATTTCAGTCTGGTTTCTACAAGAGTGGGGTCCAAGAGCAGTTGGCTTTTCTAACCCTATGAAGTCCCACATTTCTGGACTTTATTACCTTAAATTCATGCTCTTAACCCAGACAATTATTTTTGCTTTAAACTTTTTATTATAGAAAATTTCAAATATATACAAAAGTTGAAATAATAGTATAATAAACCCAATATATGCATTACCCAGCTTCAATTTGTACCCAGCTACAAATGGCTAATTTGGATTTTTCTACATCCCCACTCATTCCCCCAACCCCAAAGATTTGGTTTCTAGGTGCAGACCTACATCACTCATCTGTCAGTGGCCATGCTGTTGCAGTGGCCCACATACAAAAAGAGGAAGATTGGAGATGTTAGCTCAGGGCAAATATTCCTCAGCAAAAAAAAAAAAAAAATGATGGTGGTGATGAGAGAGGAGGAGTAATTATTATCCAGACAGAAATGTACTATTTACTAGAAAATACAAAAAGATGATTCAATTCTTAGCCACAATCATATTTGGGTATTTATTATTAAAAGATGTTTACAAAGTCTCAATTTCTTTTTAGCTCTATTTATTTTAAAAATTGGACTTAACTTTAGAATTCTTGAAACATTTTCATTTTTTACTTTAAAAACAATGGGTATCTGGTTAGAACAACCAAGATTAAGGGTAAAAGTGGCCAAAATGTAATTTCAGTTGGCCTCTTTAGATGATAAAATTTATTCTCTTGGAAAAAATCAATCACTGGTAAGAGGGGAGAGATAGGGAAGGTTTTAAAATTTACAATAGGAAAATCATTATAAGTAGATATAATAATAGATAAAAATGACAGACTAAATCTTTTCTTCCAGTTTTTTACAGTAATGAAAATTATGGGTATATTTAAGCATAGAGTGCTATTAATATTTACTGTAAAAATTAACTTTTTTAAAGTGCTAATCTACTATGGGAAATGTAGTTTCAAAATTAAATATGATTAGGTTGATTTTGAGATATCTGTAATTTAGGAAAAAAAATTTTTGAGCTTGGGATATTTCATTAGTAATGTCTGAATATATTCTTTTTATCAAGGAAATATGTAAGTCAAATCAAGCAGCATCAAGATCCTGATACTGACATTGTAACATTACCAAATGAATGCTGATACACTTGGCTTACGATGTCTCTTCCGCAAGTGAATTCAAGTTATTACAATTCTTATTTTCATATTATTTGATTTATAAAACTCTTTCAATACAACATTTAAAGCATTTCATTCTGCTTATTATCACAGCCAATCAGACTGAAAGTGGCAAAAGAGAGAAGAGGGTATAAAACTGATAACTCAACTGTCACTTACTGAGTCATCTGTGGCAGTAGTCGGCCAGCCCTCCCATAATTGATGGCGAACAGGGATGCTTGTAAGGTCATACACATTTCTTTTTACCTATAAAAAGAAAGGGACAGCACAATTAAAATAGAGTTTCCATATGACATATGATAGTTACCAGTTAATTTATGTGATATACACTATATTTCCTGTGTTTTCTTCTAGATTCAAAACAAGAATTTAAAACTAGGAAAACACAAGTCAGAAAAATTTTGTAAAAAAATCTGAAATTTAAAAGCAGATTCTCAATGAAGCCTAGACAAAATAATAATTCAAGAAACATCCCCCTTCTGCCAATGGTTTTTATATTCCTAGATGGCTTTAAGTTTCTTTTTAGTCAAGAAACTTCTGGTACATGGTTCACCTAAGACAGACTATAATTATAAATTTTTATAATCTATTTAATTTTTAAATGACTCAAGATATGCAATGATTCAAACAAAAGACACACCAAGTTTTCATGTGGGAGAGAGAAGGATGGTAGTTCTTTTTTTGGAGGGGGCAGGCGGAAAAACCTGAAATTTTCTTTATTGTTTGATGTAAGTTTCAAAGATATAAAAACTTATTAATAAAGCAGCACAGGTTATTTCTTTGAAATCACCCCAAATTAAAAACTATTTCAAGACAATATTTATTAACTGAGAATCATCTATCAATACACTATTTAGGCCTTTCCTGGAAAGAAAATACAGTAATGATACTTTTTATTTTAAATATTGTTAAAGAAGAAAAACTATTTTTCTCAACATGATATTACACTTTTCACTTTAACAGGAGAGGAGGTAAGTAATTCATCAGAGTAAAGTGTTGGAAAGTTAAACTCTCTGTTACCCAGTAATTAAGAAGTATCATATCTTTCTTCAGCTTTTTTTCTAAATAGGTTACAAAAATTCTATTTCGTTCCATATTTACAAATAAAATAAACTATCAAATCGTAAGAATGGAGGGATCATTTATCTTAACTAACTCTTCAGGTTAGTTACGGGATTACCCTATTATAACAAATGAGGCTCGTGCTGAAATGTTGCACATTAATATGTTCTATAACACGACTTCAATATGGAAAACAAGCGACATTCATTCATGTTTTAAAAATGCAGAAGCCTAAAGTATCATGTTGTCCAATTACAGCAGTTTGTATCACATTACTGTTTATTATACATAAACACATCTAAGTTATCCTTCCAGTGAAATAGAGATATATATTCATTGGGGAAAGGAAAAAAAAAAAAACACAAAACATGGAACTCAATCCATTTTTATCTCTCGTGTACACCTGTGGAAAAAGACTTAGTAAATGAGAACTGAGGAGCTTGGGGACACGGCTCGATCCCCACTCAATTCAAACAAACAGCTTTTCTTCAGAGGTTCCTAGCAATGGCCAGTCTACCATGCAGCATTTTGTTTATGGTCAGTCACATCAAGTTTGGAAATTTTCATTAGTCAATCAACCCAGCAATTTAACCAAATGCAACTGGGCTAATCTCTGACCATTTCCACTAGCTAAGACTATTCTGTCATGCTTAAACATTAGTGTTTCAAGGAGAAAGGTATTCCGTAAACCCAAAGCATTATATTAATAAAAGAAAGGAAAAGGACAGAAGAGGGGAGTCTGAGAAGACTTTAGGCTGAAAGGCAAAAAAAAATTCCTTTCTTAAAGTTATTTTTCAATTACGTTGTCTAGATACACCAAGCTTCATCAGCTATTTTTGAAAAAAAAAAGCAGGACAAATATTTACTTCTGTTGGAAAGGTGGCAAGGCTGCCCCAGCATTGGAGAGTATACACAAATACTATGAGTTGATTATACAAACAAATAACTTTGGAGTGGGATTCTTTAAATTCCACCTTAATTCCAAAACACAACAATACGGTATTATGAAATAAACAGTATTTTTCTTCTTTCATTAACTCATCTGCAACTGCACTGAATTGAATAACATTCCTTTGCTATTCTAAGCCTGAAAAACATGTTCTGGCTATAGTGTTATGTTGGTATAAAGCACAACGCCAGACTGATGTGCTGAACAAAAGTGATCAAAGTTAGAGTAATGTTAGCCATTGCACAAGTATTTGGCTTCATTGTTCTCCCCAGAATGACATCTGTTAAGCAACTTGTCGTAGAACAAACTGTTTAATGCAGACAGAACTTGGCTGAGAGGGTACAACGTAAAGCATATTAGGCTAATGTTTGATTGCTCCAATGAAAAAGCTAAATTCACAGAGTTTCTGAGATTAAGCCAAAAGAATCTGGTGTTAAACCACAATCACTAAGCCACAACTTAAGTGAAAACAAATTAGTTTTTAAAAAATAATTCCATGTTTATCAATGCTGTAACCACAGGCAGACTTCACCATTACATGGAAGAAACATAAGTGATAAGATAGCAAAAGTACAAAATGAGTGACGGTTTTACTAATGGAGATATAAAAATTCCATTATCTTTATTGATGGTTTTCTTTAATCAAAATTTTAAGTCACAATTCAGCAGAGAAGGAAAAAATCTGAAATGTACACAAAGCAAAAGTAAAAATGATTTTTTAAAAAAATTAGTGTTCTAGGAAACCTGAATGACAAAACACAGCTGTGTATAAAATGAGGCTGATAAATTTAAGGTCATCATGAAACAAACGAAGGACACAGTTCTCTCAGAGAAGGAAGCAAGATGGAGGATCAGAGGAGGGAGTGGGAGGAAGGAGACAGAGAGGAAGGACTAAAGGGAAAAGGAGAAAGAGAGAGGGAGGGGTGGAAGAGAGAGGGAAGGGAGAGAGAGAAAGAGAGAGATTGCTGTGAGAGACGCTCGAGAGAGGCAGAAAGAACACACACACAGGCTGGGTTGCTGTAGCTGGCACACCCAGCTGCCATTATTGTGCTACTTCTGATGGAGTTTTATCTTTAGAAATTTGTGTTAAATTCCAGTTAAGGACAAGTGGCCCTTCACAGGGTAACATTTCCTAAGGTCCTGTTTTGTCTTACACATTTCCTTTGATCAGCATTGGCTCAAGATCATGCTGAACCTTCATAATCTTTTCAATTCTTGTTATGCATTAAGCTCTAAAACTATGAGATTTCAGGCTGCTAAACTATGCAAATGTTTCAATTAGTTCTGATGAAATTTAATAAATGCTTTGATTATCAGCTGAACATTAAAATTATGTTACAAACTGTACTGTATTTGGATCAAGTGTTCTAGATTGACAACAGATTTTCCAGAGTTTGTTTTCTAGATTTTCTCAAAGGACAATTTCATTTCTTCTTCATTGCTTCAGATAAGACAATCCATTTGTGACTAAGAAAAAAATATAAATCAGATTAACTTGAAATCAGCTTAACAGAATATGGTACTGGTTTGTTTATTATTTTGCTATTCATTGTTAATAAACATCTATTTATATACTATAATTAATGTAAAAAGCAAGCAGTGATTTCCACGTTAAACTTTGTATTTCCGCACGGTGGAAATTTCAATGACAAACACAGCACTGAGGAAAAGATCATTTTATTATAACGTGCTCAATATAAAATTATGTAAGATATTCATCTCCCACAAAGTTTTCGAGTTCCCTAAATTTTCAAATGGTTTTATTTTTTAGTTAAATTTTATCAGAATTTCTTAGAAAAAAAGTCTTAGAAAGTTACTGTGCTAAAGGCTAAATTTTGAGGCTTAGAATTAGCTTCAAATGGGTTGTTTGTAGCTATTCAAATTGAAAAATATAAAACTTAGTAGATAACTTCGTCAGCTACAATAAAGTCATTCCTTGTGAGCTAATTGTTGGTCAAACTATTGAAAAACATTTCAGAGAATTTTAAATATCATTCGGGTATTATCCAAGTGAAAGTAGATTCTGATAAGAGAAAGGAAAGTCACAAAGTTTGAGGTACCGTGGCATAATGAGAGGCAGAGAACTTGATTTCCAGTCTTAATTCTGCCCAGCTGTTATTGTGGGCAAGTTGGTGGAACCTCTCTGAGACTTAGTCTACTCAATGTTAGAAAAGAATACAACAACATCACTTCTGATTTTCAAAGCTCTAAAATCCTATGATTTTATGAAATTATAGGAGTTAATCCTAGGTACAAGAAAAGAAGAGCTACATATTTCCAAGATTAGCAAGTAATGAGGGAAAGTTTAAAACCATTAAGGCTAGAAAATGGAAGAAAAATAGCAAAGACTTAATAAACAACACATCAAAAGGAAAATTGCAAAGAATTTCAGGTAAGAAATAGAGATAGAATAAATATTTTAAGTGATTTTTTTTTCTTGGATGAAGAAAAGTCTTAGTTTTTGCTTTTATTACACTAAAAAGTCTAGATTTAAAACAAAAAGGCTAAATAATATTTTCCCCTCATGAGATCTCATTTAAAAATAAAGCTTGTCACAAAGGCTTCCTAAATAACTATTCCATCAACAAAATGTTATCAGTGAGGCTATGGTTTTCACAGAGTACTACTAGCTAAGTGATATAGTTGTGAAGTTCTACTAATTTATTTTAACATCTTTAAAATTTTGATATCTGGCCCATGATTCTTCACATATCAAACATTCTAATATAGCAAAAAACAGAAACAAAATATTTAATTGCCATGGGCTTACAATAGCTATCAATTTGTTAGCACTCTAATTTCTAGACTGTCTGAATTAAGGACACTATGGCAAATTACAGCCCTTACATAAAAAACACCCTGAAACTACATACATCTGTCTCATTCTCTTATCAATCTTAGAAGAAAAAGACCTTTGGTCATATTATAACCTGAGTGTGTCCAAATTTTAAATATATCAAATTTTGAACTCCAAGTACTTCACACTATCAAATGATGCTCTGGTTAAGAGTTTGCTCAATAATAACTGCACCAAACAAATAAGTATTTGTGTGTGTGTGTGTGTGTGTGTTTAAATCAAAACAAGGCATACAGACTAGGCTTAGCTCCAGTTTCCTGCAATCATTGGTGCTCTGAAAGGCTTATAGTTAATAAACCAATCACTTCTGATCCAGACTGGGTTGGAATACACACTTACTACCTAAGAATTTTTCTTTTTCTTCTTCTTTTTTTAACA